TTTTGAGTTTTTTACAAAAGCTCATTTTAGTATATATTAGACATCATTATAAATAATTCATAAAAATTTACATACCTGTGAACAGTAGTTTCTCATAAAAGGTGCATCGCACATTAAAATTTACATTTTGAGATAAATTGATTTTAATGTGTACAGTGAGACTTCTAATCGGCTAGGAAATTAAAAAATAAAAGGCTCAATTTAAAATAAAAGATGCATGTTTTGGTTTATATCAGTCGTTACACTTTTAAGCAAAAACAAAGTAATTTGTTTACAATTTTCTCCATTAAAATGGGCGTGGCCCAAATTCAACGATTATATAAAAATACGTTTTAAGGGCTTCTAAATACCCTAGAGGTTAAAGTAAGGTATTTTTAGAAAAGTTAAAATATATACAATTTGAAAATATAAAAATCTCAAATTGTCAAAAAAATAAGATTTTAGCTTTCCAACATCCCTTAAAGTCGTATCGTATTTTTAGCATCAGAGTATAATATTAGTGAATTCAATACACTGTTATTATATGAGGGGGCGTGATGAAAATTATGATCGAATATTGGGTCGCGAATATTGAAACTTTGAGAAGCACTGAACTAAGAAAATAGTTCTTTCGTTCCAACTGAACAATTCTTTACTTGTTATGCTCATGCATAGAAATGTGTTTCTCCTTTGATTATTAGCTTCCAAATTATTTTGAGCAGTGCTTTATATTGCATTGTTATTACATATCAAAGAAATGTAAATAGAGGGTGTTGTGGAATTTGACAGATAAATTCCGAGTTGTGATAGTAGACAGCATGGTGACAGCAAATCACTATTAAACATGGAGTCGTAAACCACTTTTAGTCTGAGTAATCCGCAAAAACAGTTATAGATTGTGTGATGTAGAGTGGAATGAAAAGGGGCAAGAAGAGGCAAGAAATGTATTTATTAGACGTAAATCATTACAAAACAAACAATGCATCTCAGTTCGATGTCGGAAATGTAACAATAAGGGATTGTCACAGGAATTGTTCAAAGTTGCGGTCACGTAGGTCATAGCACAAGTGGTATGGTGCGGACATCACCTCCTCGGAAAGGGGTTCTGGTACATTCTCTGTGCTTGGCATCCATTGCAATTGGCTTGGCCGTACATGAGGTGCATATTCCTTGTTCGTATAATCCGACATTGTTCCCAAATGCAATTTAACACCCGCGCTTAATGCAATGCCCCCATTGAAAATGTACTCATCGCTTTTATTCTCCCCAGACGAGTTGGAAATTAACATACATATGTGCAGGTGTCTTCAAGCCTACTTCGGTGCTCTAAATATCCGTATTCATTTGGTTACCCTCCATCTGGCTCACCGTCCTCCCGGCGTAGTCGTTAACTACTAAACTTAGTTAACGACCCCATGTTCTACCATGTTGATTTGTTATCCCCATGCCTACTATCACCCATCTGAATTAGTCTGACGAATTCAGCAATACCCTGAATATCTCTTTGTGGTCAACTTTTTCATTTGGATGCATCATTTTACTTCTTATTTTCTAGTCCACAGTTAGATAAAAATGATCTAAAAAGCATAGATAAATTTAGCTTACGTAAAATGCAATTAGTTCGAAGGAAAACGTTAAAGCAAATTATTAAAACTTACAGTCCCTGTTACTTAATTTTGTATATTTTCGTTTATATAACGAATGAGTGGTAATGAATTTAATCTTCTATTTCTGAGCTGTGTGTTTGTTTTGCAAAGTCTTTTGGAAAAATTGTTTTCCCGTATTTAAGATTTTAAGCACTACGCACAATACAGAAAAAAAATTCAAAAAAAGGGGAATGTGTCTTCGTGATGAATTAATTGCATTACAGATAATACATTTCCCATTAAATGCTTCTTGTCTATTTTTATGCATCTTATAATTGTTAATTTCGTTGTAAAGAGTGAAAACACTGCTTTATATATTACAGGTCAATGCTTAGAAAATCCGGAAGTTCTGTTAGAAGGTCTACCTTTGAGCAAAACAGAAAGAAAACGCTTAGAAAAATTAAATAAAATTAACATAGACTTGCAAGGTAAGTAAAATCTTTTCAGTTAAGATTATTTAGTTAATAAAGTTTTAAAAAATTATAAGTACAATCAAGTATTCCTTTAGAAAACAACTTATAAAATTTTGACAAGTTAAAATTTCGAAGAAAAAATTCTGGCAAATAAATCAATATATAAAGTAGATTATAAGTACTCTTTTGGAAGTTTCTTTATATAAAATAAAACATATTTTTTTTTAAATTTTCTTTCAAAACACAGTACTTCCGTTCCTGATGGTACGTTATAATATAAATTCATAACACGTTTGATTTTGTACTTAAGGGGACATAGTACGATTTAATTAACAATAATCGGTCAAAAAATCAAATAAATTTTCTTATCCTAAATTATTTTATATGTTTTTTTTCTATAATCTCACAAAATGTGAAATTTTTTTAAGTTAAAGAACCCCAGATTTAGGATAACCTTTATGTTCATTTTTATTCTTATCCCAATGTCAGATAAAAACTTCAAACTGATGTTTTTCAGAAAAATAACTAGTTTATCTCCATTTCAAATGCTAAGTTTTTTTTTTCTATTGCGCCAAGTGCTTTGATATTTTTCTATTTCTATTAATACATGCAACAAAAGTTAGCATGCGCTTTAAAAACAATTCAATATTTATCTTTTATGAGTTTAATTTAGAATGTGTGCATTTTTCAGGGAATTTTCAATGAGCATTCAGAAAAAAATGCACTTTAAGAGTACCAATCATGTTATCCCAAACCCGTACCAACTTTGGTTATATATGGCTCTAGGTACTTGTGTGAATCAAATTCTATGCGTGTGTAAGTCAATTATTGTAAAAGGAGTAGCAATTTAAAACTACTTTTTAATTTTTTAAATTTTTCTTATAAAAATTAAAGGGTTAGTCTTCTTTGGTATTTTGTGCACAAACATTGCTTTACATAATACGCGCACATATAAGCAATCCAAAAGAACCATTAAATCAAATATTTTTAGACATATTAATCATGTCCCCTTAAAGCAAATACTTGGCATAACTAGTATCATAATAAAGAAAACTTTAGAATTCAAATTTAATATCTGAAATATTTAAATTTTTCAAACTGTTTATTAAGGTATCTGACTACCCTAAAATCGTGAATTGTTTCAAAAATTGACAATTTTTTTATGATTTAATTTTATAGACCATCTTATGAGCTTTGTAAATATATCAAGTTTTTTATTTTCCATTCACTAGAACAAAAACTGCAAGTGTTTTAGGAAAGCAGATACCATAACTTTAAACGAGATCTTAAACTTTAAAATGCGTTTTACTCAAAAAGTGGGTTTTTTTTCCGAAAGCTCAAACGGAGACAGCGATTACACAAAAAGCTTTCAGAATAGTTAACTGAATTTTTTGGTTATATTCTGTGTAATAGTACAAGTGTTTTCACCTTCAGATTTATCAATCACTGATTTATTTAAAAATTTATAGTGCCTTATGTGAATATAATCACTGTTTTTTAAGCAATTTCATATAATAACTAAAATAAAGAGAGAGTGTGTGCTCTAGTTTTTGTAAAGCTAAAATATCTCTTATCCTGAAGGTCATTTCAAAAATGCATACCAAAGTAACTCATAAAAATTGAAAATTTGAGAATTTGTTCATGAACATTTTGTACAGAGTGGGCGCGGTTTGTGTAGTTTTTTGTAAATTTTTGCCAACTTTTTTCCCATTTTAGTAATAATAATTTCTGTTTCTCTTCTTAATTTTTGCAATTTTTTTATAGAAAAAATGTTACCACCTCTGAAAACCACAAAAAAAATTTCCATATCTCAATTTTTTTAAAAAAAATAGTTGCCGTAAGTAGTCAGATACCTTAACTTAAAAAAATGGAGTCTTCTTATATCTTAGATTTTTAGTCTTTAACCAATCTAAAATATCTCATATAAAATAACTATTTTTCGAACTTTTTCCTTCAGCACTTTTCGTATCAGTGGAGCATGAACATTTAGAGCGAGCCAGGAGCATATTGTCAACTACAGACGTCAACGTCAACTGGTAAGACATTTTGACATTTAAATCTAGCGTTGGAAAGAAAAAAAGCTTCCCTGTCGTATCGCAAAAAAAAAAATAATAATTTCAATGGATTTGGATGAGAAAAGGATTAGGTTTTGTTTTTAAAAAATGCTTTGTATTGGATTTTAAGATTTATTTTTGGTTTTTACTCGTTCTTTGAAAGGTTAAAATAAAGTTGCAGCATTTGTAAGACCTATTGGAATAAAAGAGCACTGATTTCTCTAAAAATGCTTTTATTTTTTAAAAAGCTTCGCAAAAGATTTGTTGATTATCGTAAATTTAGAAAATTTGATAAATGACAGCCTTTCTTTTGTTTCTACATGTGACGCGAATAAAAAAAATTACTCAATCAATTCCTAAGAGAAATAGGTAGAAATAGATGAAAAATCCAAGATAAACACCCCGATACACCTTAACGAAAATTCTATTTGTTTATATTTTATTTGCGAACAGGTATTTATTAACATTAATATTTTTTATTGATTAGAGCGTAATTACTTTCAGATTTAGATTGCGGTTTGCTTTAAAACGTTCCTAACATTCAAAACTTGTTTTGAAAAATTGCTTTTTCGAATGTCTAACGGTATAATCCCCAATGCAAATATAAGAAATCGAATATATGTTATCATTAATAATATCTTTTAACAATTAACGAATATCATTAAAATGACAAATAATAAGATTAAAAATAATTATTTTTAAATAATTTAGTTTTTTTTAAATATTTTTTTAATTTTATTTTTTAATCCAAACATTTGACTTTTTAAAAATCTTTCGGGACCAAATAGCTTCACTCTTTAAACTTAATCTGAAATTTAAATCATATCCATTTTATGCTTCATATGAATTTTCTTTTTTAGGCATATACATTATTTACATATTCATATTCACATTTCATTTCGGCTTTGGGTAGCATAGTGGTTAGAGCATCGGGCTCCCGTCCGGAAGGCTTGGATTCGATGCCCGATACCATCAAATTCCTTCCGAGTACACACGGAGTACCTGCTCGTTAAATCAATGGGTTCGAAAGTCTTGTGGGTGGTCGTAGCAGATACCACGGGAGCAGGTAAATGGAGGATATTTCCCTCCCCTCCAGTTCCAAGCCTAAATTGTTAGGTGGTGTCGCAATCTATCGTATAGAAGTCCAACCTGTCTCAGACTCTGACAACTTACATTCCTTCCCTACGGAAAGAACACAAAGACAACAACAAATTCAGTTCAAAATCTTTCTAAAGTGTATTCATGCTACACATTTCTTATATTCTTATAAATGTGTTTTCGAGATTTTACGCAAAAATATATTTGTCAGAATAAATGCCCTTTAATGTATGATACACATGTCTTCCTATATTTAAAAAGGCGGTTTTCTATTGTAAACAGCGGCATATTTATGAGATTTTCCCTTTATTGAAAAATGATCGCAAATATTGAAGAGTTAAACAAATATTTAAAGCAACGCTTTGATCGATTTTTATTTTTTTACAATTTGGTCAGAAAAGGTAAAAAATAGTTCGTTTCTTAATGTAATTTCGATCATTATCATACGCAAGAGTGTTATTCCATTAAAAATCTTTAATATTAGCAAAGATTGGATTTGTGACCATATATATAAATAATCCACTTAGATTTATATATCAAATTTTTTTAAATGTTTCTTAAAGAAGCATAGATTTATGAATTGGGGATCGAACTCCTATCGATGCATCAAAAATTCTACGAATTAAATTATATATATACAGTTGAATCCCCATATTACGAACCTCTTTATTGCAAATTTTTCTATACAGAGAATTTCCTGGAACCAAAAATATTTCACGATTTTCTTAAATAAAATAACCTCCTAATAGCGAAGTGCATTTTCTATATGACGAACTTTTTTCTCTTGTGATTCTATTTTTTTTCTCTCCCTATTTTCGAAGTATTTATGGACAATTCAAGTTCTATCTTTTAACACAATTTAGGTTGGTCCTAAATCATCAACTGGTTTTAATAGGTGCCAAACTCGACGAGAGCAATATAATTCTGGGCGTTTCAACGAAGAAGTGCAACCTTTAACTCCTGTTATCCAGTTTACTGGAAACATCTCTCTTCTATGTACCTTTCATCCTTAGTGGAGTTGTCTTGTGTCCCCGTGTCTTTGAACTAATCTCCATTCATTTGTATTGTTGATCCGTCGTACTGGTAACTTCGTTTTTGTAGCTCGAAAATATCATAAAGTAAGTGCTTGAGCATCAAGGAAAAAAACTTAATTCTTCAGGAAGTGGATAAAGGTGTCAAGAAACTTTCCTTGTAGTTTTTCTTTCTTTTTTTATAGGTAAGATTCATAAAAAATGTATTAATTTACAAAAATGTGAGAATAATTACTTTTTTAATGTATAATATTTACGAATTTAAAATATGTCTTATGTGGTTCATCAAGAAAATTGAAAGATGAACCTCTATATAACGAATTTTTCATATAAACGAACTTTTTTCGAGATATAGCGACTTCATTGGATAGAGGTCTGACTGTATGTATATAAAGCATTTAAAGGTGTGACTCTGTCAATGAGCTTAACCTCTTAAAAAATATTTTTTAAAGTTATTAAAAAATTTTATTTTCTTATTTCTAAATTTTAAGCTTTATTATGTATACAGATTATTATTATGAATGATGCATTTATAAAAATGTTATTACAACAGAATTATTATGAATGATGCGTTTATTAAAATTTATTTTAATAGATTATGATTGTAGATTATTATCATGAATATAGATTTTAAGAATTGGAATACTGTGAATTAGATAAAAATACATTTTGTTTATCTGAACTAAATTCTCCTAGCTGTTGAGATTTTATTTTCGTCAGACTAGGTATGGCGTAAATATACACAATGATAAATACTCTTAGAACGCAATTAATGTATAGAAATATTGCGTATGAATATAGAATTAATTAAATAATTGAATAATAATGAAATTGTGAAAAGATTTAATATCATGTTATAATATATATATGTTTGAGTACATTGCATTGAAAATGGTTTATAAATAATTTTTTCTGCTTTAATTTTTCAAAAACCTTGCTGCAAATGTTTTTAGTTTACAATTTTTACCTTGGAAACTTGTATTTTTTACTGATATTTATTTGATGTTTCTAATTTTTAAATGTTGCAAGTAAATAATTAAGAGTAAACCACCTCTTTGAATATTTCTTATTTAATTATTTTTGCAATTGTTTAATTTTGATTTCAATTCAGAACAGTAACACTAAAATTTCTACACACATATATTACAATACAGTTCCTATACAATTTCTTTAATTACATATTTACATGAGAATTCCCTAGCCCAGAAAATCTTACTTTTAATACTTAAATTTTAAATCTTTTCGAGTTACATCAAGTAAATTTACCGTAGAAACCTAAGTAGTTAATCTTATCAAGGGAATTTAAATGTAGCCTTATCAGAATAGATATTTAAACTGAGCCCTTTAAAAGACTAGTTAGACTCTTATCTATGCTTAAGGCGTCCCTTAATCGTCTTCGATAGTATTTTAAAATCGATCGATTGATCTAGAATTAATTCCCAACATTTATATCCACATTTAAAAGCTAATCTTTACATTTACGCATTTTTATTTTCAATTATAAATATTGAGAAACATAATCATTTACTTGGAGTTCCAAAACTATTTTAAAATTTAAAGTCAAGTAAGAGATATGCTTGGCATAATAAAGGTAAATTAATTCAATAAATTTTTACATTTAAGAAAGTGTAATGTTGACCTTCTCCCGATTAAGGGAAACATTTTCTCTATTAATAAGTGATTATCGTATTTAGTTATATTCTTATCTTCATTTCTTATACAGAATCTCAAAATAGAACGAATGACGAAACGTTTAGAAAAAACAGAACGGTCAAATCAATTGGCGCCAATGATAAAATACTCGTGGATTGTTCTCTGTTATTCTTTCTAATTAATGTATCGTGTAAAAAAATATTATTGGTTTTCTCTTATGTTTTATGTTGTTCGGTAAGTATAATTTTGCGCAATAATAAAGTATATTTGAACAAATATAAACTAATGCCTGATAATGAAAAATAATCCGTGGAAATAATTCTATTTTATTCTCATAATTTTTTTTAAATAACTACTCGCTGTTATGCATTTTTCTTACGGTTTTTATTTGCTTTACGTCTAAACAAACTAAAATAAACAGTTACATACTAATATTTACTCTTAGAAACCTTTTAGTCCTGTGAGGGTTAATAAGAAAATAATTTCCGTTTTTTTAGAGTTAAAAGAGAATCAACTGCAAATGAATTTTATTAAATATCTTAAAATAGTAAATAAAATAAAAGTGATACCCAAACCATTTCTACTTACACATTTTCTGCTATGTATTCTCGCATATATCAACAGCTAACTATTTATTTTACTTTAACTGAACAAAATAGATTAAAACATTAAATAATAGGTTGTTTGTGTTTGTATGTGGATTTAATCTTAAGGTAATTCATAACCAAACTGTCAATAACAATAATTTAATTTTTGCATTTTTTTTTAAATCTGATACCTATAAAAATGCAAACTATATAACAACGAAATTAAAGTTTTGAGAATTTTGTAGAAAAAAATGCAATTTGAATGCATGTATCCATTTCTTTTCAGAAAGTTAACATGTTCTTCCTTCTTTTTAACACAGCCTTGCCTTTACTTTTAATGCTTTTCGGTTTATAAAAAAATATCGATAATTTAAAGAAGCTCTCATCAAACCTATTGTGTGAAACTGATGTATTTTCAATGGTATAAGTTTTTTTTAGTTGTTGATTCGTAAAGTTTCATTGATTGTGAAATTAGATAGAACTAAAATAAATATAAAAATAAAAGTTGATTTTAAATATAAAAAAAGTAATTCTAGTGGCAACAGACTTTCAACAACAAAACTCAGGAACTCTAAATTTCTTTTTGCATTTGCTGCGTCAAATACATATTTCATTTTTATAACTATGCTACTTCCCAAATTTCTAATTCGGTTACATTTTTTCAGGAACATTTATTGACATAAAGATGTAATAATTTTAAACTGTAGCCTTCATTTCACCTTTTATGGGCCGGTATGGGACGCGGGTTCGAAACTTAAAGGCACTGAAGACTTACCGTGTAGAGGCGAGGGTGTACGTTAAATATATCGAAGTTCAAAGTCTTTCCATTGGTGTAGAGCAGGGGTCGACAACCTTTTAGCTGTTGCGTATCAAACCCATCTACCAAAATGATTCAGCTTACCACACAGTAGGACATGTTTCAAACATTTCGATTCCCCCCAATAATGCATGCAGAATAAGTGAATAGAGGTCAATAATATAGATTTACAGTTTTATTATATATTAACTTTGCATCATTTAAAGATATTTATATTCTCATATATATATAAATAAACAGCATAAACCATATTTATTTCTTCAACAAAAATTTTTTAAAAATTTAACTGTACATATATTAAGTTCTTTGAAACATATTTATTAAAATAAGAAATTTAAAACAGAAAAAATAGAAGTATTTCCCTTCATTATAGTTAAATAAAAATTTTAATACGAACCTAGTGCTTGCAACGCTCTACTTTCATATCTCAAAATCAGGGGTATAATTTGTTTCTTTCAATTTGACACGAATCTGAGTATTCAGTTGTTAAACAATTTTTTTGTGAACTCGAAATATTTTTCATGCTTAGATATGCAGAACCAAAAGAGGAAAGCACAGTACATGCAATTTTCTCTCTTCAAACAATTAAATCTCTTGAGCAATGACATTCAATAATGTACAAAATGGCTGTAAATTTATCTTTGGAGTTATCATTTAGGTTTTTTTATTAATTCAATAAATGTTCGTAATTCTGAAGATATTTGTCAAAATAAGGTGCATTTTACAAATTTATCAACTTCCATCCACTCAAATATTCACAAATTTGTAGAGAAGTGTGGAATGCCA